TTCTTGACATTGAGCCTCAATCCATATTGAAGGCTGCAGTCCTTGACCTTTTGCAGCAAATGCCTCAGGTCCTCCTCAGTTTCAGCAAGCAGGGTTGTGTCATCCGCATAACACAGATTGTTGATAAATTGTCCAAGTATAGGTTTCGCATTAGCACGATCAGGTGTTCTGGGATTCCCATTCTTCTCAAAGTCAGCCACAGTTTGTTATGATCCACACAGTCAAACGCCTTTGCATAATCAATGAAACTCAAGATAAGACATTCTTCTGGTATTCTCTGCTTTTCAGCTAAGATCCTTCTAACATCAGCTACAATATCTCTATAATTCAAATAGACAATCCAAAATTTCGCCTGTTTTCTGGTGAAAGTAATCCCTATCTTTATGCCCAATTCAAAAAGAAATAATGAGTATTCCACTGATTTGATGGCCTTGCCATTTCCCTTCATAAATCTTAAATGTCTTAAAAATTTCAAATTTACTTAATTTCACTGATAGGCAACATTATGAAGAAGAAAAATTGAAAACTGTCAACTTCATCTTACCTCGATCCACAATCAATACACTTGTTACCAGCAGTCAGGAGATCAGGAGACATACTGCACTGAGAAAGTCTGTAGTCAAGAACCTCTCCAAACTACTGAGGAGCAATGATGTTAGTCTGAGGACTAAGGTGTGCCTGACTCAGGTCATGGTCTTATCTATGTATCTCAGAGCTGGAAAATGATTAAGGATGACAGAAGAATTAATGTCTCTGAGCTGTGGTGTTAGAGAAGAGTACTGACTATCCCATGGATGGCCAAAAGAATAGATGTATCTTAGAGAAGGTGCAGCCACAGTGCTTCTTGGAGTCATAGATGATAAAAGTTTGTCTCATATAATCACACTTGGGAGGGTGGAGGGACGGTGCAGGAGGGGAAGGCCCTCTATGAGGTGGATTGATTCAGTGACTGGGATAATTAGGATGGGATTGTCAGAGACAGTGCGATTGGCACAGGACAGAGCAGAGTTTAGGACTGCTGTACATAGGGTCACCATAAGTCGCAAGTGACTCGTCGGCACATAACAACAACAAGAACATATACTTTGGGCATGTTGCCTGGAGAGGAATATTGGGCTTAGAAAGGTGGAGGAATGGTGTAAGAGAGGAAGACCTTCAACTCGGTGGATTGACACAGTGACTGCAGCAATGTATGAGTGTGTCAGAGGTTGTTACAATGTCAAAGGACAGGGTTCAGATCTGTTTTCATAGAGTCACTATGAGTTGTATTCAACTCAATGGCACCTAAAAACAACATCAGTAAATCAGGTTTTGTCATTTTTTTTCCTTGTTAAGATTTGTTACTTTAGGGACAATTAAACCAGACTTTCAAGGAATATTCAACCTGAATCCTTCTGATCATATGGAGATTTTTGAAAGTATTTCTTTGAGTTTATTATGTCTAATTTGTTTTGTTTGTTTGTGTATAAAGGATGCTCATCTAGATGATAACATAATTATGATAAAAACAAAAGAAGGGAAATATGGGAAGCCAATACTAAATATTTGTAATAAACTGAATGCTGTTTTTTTTTTAAAAAAGATGTTACTTTATTAAAGAACCTTTCTTTTCTTTTTAATGAACCCTTCTTGATGTGTGAAGAAAAAAGTAAGCCATGAGACCAAAGATTAACTTCATTTACTTTAATTTGAAAGTTTGTTCAACTGTCACCCGTAGGACCTAAAACAGTCCAGAGGAAAATTAACGTTGAAGATTTCATTAAAGGATTTAAAAAAAAAAAACCCAAACAACCACATTCACAGTACATTAATAAACAATAATTGCACATTTCCTTTTTTCACACACTGAAAACCATAAGCTTCCCTCAAAGGCATGATTTAAAACCTTTCTGACAAATATATCGCTGCGCTGCATCCAGCTTGGATAACGTTCTTCAGAAGGGTGTAGGCTGGAGCCTATTTAAAATAACAAAGCAAACAAGAGACAGTTACATTCTTCTTCAGTTGTAAGATGCAGGGCTGACATGATAGAGTTTGGACTTTCTTAGATAAGAAGGAAGAGCAGAGAAAACAACTTATTTTAATCTGGGAAAAACCAAAATCCTTTGCAAAAGATTGGATTACTGCTAACGTATTTGAATGATCTAGTATGCTGGGAAAGGAGGAGGGTCAGGGAAGGGGAGGGAGACTCTCACTGAGATGGAATGATATCGCCACTGCAGTGAGTTATAACTGACTCAATGACACTTTAACAAGAAGTTTCTCACAGTAAAGGGAAAAGACGCTACAGGAGAAAAGGATAAGGGAGGATGCAAAAAGACTTCCAATCAGAGAAATACTTTTGCTTGTTTTATATCAAAGTAATATACAGAAATGGTTTTCTTCTGCCAGGACTCAAAAGTCTATTTTTCTTAAAACAGAAACTTTTTTGCCCTCTCACCCTTCCAAATAAAAAAATCCCACAGAGCTGCAAGCAAGCACGCAGAGCGGGGACCTACCAATTCCGCATCGTGCTCCAGGCCTGTATCGTGGTGCTCAAGCTCTTCATCCCGAAATTTCTTTATTATCTGATTAAGGGGGAGGGACAAGAAGAACGTCAGCAGCCCAGCTCTTGTTGTTCTGTCTGATTTTGGAGGCTAAGGCCTGACATCACAATTACGACAGGGCAGGCAGCAAACATTTAAGGCTGTGTCGGCCACCTGCTCTCTACTGTGATTACTCAGTAACATCGTTCTCATTGCTGTCAAGTCAATTCTGACGCATAACAATACAGAACTGAGTATATCTGCCGTATTAGGTTTCTGTCTTTACAGACTGTCAAATCGCTCTCCTATGAAGAGGATGGTGCATTTGAACTGCTGAACTTTCTGTTACCCATCAAGCAAATAACCACTACAGCACCAGACTGCTTACTGAATGGCAATGGTGCAGGATACTGCACGGTTTAAAATGGCTGTTCACAGGCTCGCCATGGTACCTAAAAACATCACCCTGTTACAGCAGCATAAAAGCAGTCATGGCATATCTGTGTTTCAATAAAACTTTATTTACAGAAGCATGTGGTCAGCCAACAAGCAGGAGTTTGCTGGCATTTTGTTTAGGCTTTTAAAAAAAAAATTACAAACCCCATTAAAATTATTTAGAATGGAACAGTTCCTCATTTTCTGTGAAAAACGTATCTGAAGATCTCTACTCCTATTGTATTTCCTCTAAAGGAGGGTTCATGCTTCCAGCGTTTCCTGAGTCTCTTCCAATGGTACCGATAAGCAGCTCTGGTCCCTGACTGGCTCAATGGGTGTGACGAAGACAAGCCGTTTCCTCTCTCTGTGCCTCACTCTGTTTACCTTGATAATAAGGCATTGACCTAAATGTCTAAGCCTCCTTCATTAGCTAACTTTACACATTCTATTTGTTTTCGCAAAACTGAATTCTACCACACTCTCCCTCAAAAAAAATCAACACAAAAGCAAAACAAGCACCAAAGCTACTGCTTTCAAATCTGACCAACAGCAACCGTACAGGGCAGAGCAGAACTTCCCACAGGGTCTCCAAGGTGACGTCATCTCTGCACAAGCTGACCACATCCTTCTCCCATGGAGTGGCTGGTGGGTTCACATCACAGACCTGCCAGTTAGCTGCCCACAGATTAACCAATGCACTACCAGGGCTCCTGCCAAAGTGCATGTCTCCTTTTCCCCCTGTTAAGCAGCTCCATACCTGAAGAAGTTCCTCATATCTTTCAGGATCCTCCTCCATCAATGTCCTGATCTGGTTGTTATAGTGATGTGCTATTGATTCTTCCACAGCCACGGTGCAAGCCATCGCGCCCTCCTTCCCGAGCAAGGCCGTCCCAGCTCCTGGAATCAAACCCAGGACAGTAAAGGAGGGGCAGACGGCACAGTGAGGGAGACCATTCTAGGCCAGGGTCTCACAACCTCGGCACCAGCCACGTTAGGGCCAGATGATTCTACGTCATCGGGAACTGTCCTGTGTCTTGCAGGGTGTTTATGAGCATCTCTAGCTTCTGCTCTAACTCATCAAATGGTAGTTGTAAAACCCCTGTCCAAGTTCTGGCAACTACAAATGACTCCAGATTGTCAAACGTGGGTTTGAAAGCCAATTCACCCTGGGGTGAAAGGTCAATGTTTAGGTAGTATCAGGCCACAGCGTTGCATCCCAAGGATGAGAGGAAGACAGACATTCTTTTCAAGACTCTCCCTGACCTCCTTATGGGGGAAGAAGAAAGTCTTCCTTTAGGGTAAGTAGTGCTGGTCCTTCTATTCCATGCACTCTTCTCACTTTTTTTTTTTTTTTTTTTTTTTTTTTTTTTTTTTTTTTTTTTTTTTTATTTTTTTTTTCTTCTCACTTTTTTAAAAGAGGTTACACATCGTAGGTTTAGACCCTTTGTCAGGAAACAAAAATCCTGACCACTGGACCAACTGGCAACGAAGTGAAGAAAGGGCTGAAGTTGTCAACAATTTCATTTTAACTGGATTCACAATCAACACGCATGGTAGCACCCATCAAGGAATATAAATGTTTTATATGTTTTATACTAAGCAAATCTGAGGCCAAGGGCCTCTTTACATCGCTAAAGGGCAAGGGCGTGCTTGTACCAGAACACTGTTCATGGCCGGCTGTGCCCGTGAAAGCTGGACAATGGCTAAGGGAGACTGAGAGAGATCAGTGCCTTTCATACGCGGTGCTGGGGAAGAGTACTGACTATCCCATGGATTGCCAAAGGAGCAGAGAAATCTGTCCTGGAAGAAGTGCTGCCAGGGCGCTCCTGAGTAGTGAAGACGGTGAAATGTGGGGTCACATACTTCAGCATGCTGTCAGGAGAGGCCAGGCCTCGGGAAAGAACATCAGTGGAATTTGGAAAAGTACAGGGTCAGTGAAAGGAACAAAGACTTTCAAGGAGACAGACTGATACAGTGACTGCAGTAACAGGTGTAAACAGAGAAGAGAATGTGAGGATGGGGGAGGGTCAGGCAGCTTGGGTCTGTTGTGCATCAGGTCACCAAGAATTGGGATCAACCTGACAGCAAACAACAACAGGATGTGGCCGCATATAAACGACACCAGTTGTCCACACCTCCCACCTCTGTGTTCCTATCCTGACTGTTCCTTCCACAGGGTCACTGTGAGTCAGGCCTAACTTGACAACAATCATTTCTTGGGTTCTTATTTATGAAAGTACTTCTTGTTGTTGTTATGTGCTGTTGAGATGTTTGTGACTCAAAGCGACCCTGTGTACAGCTGCTCAGAACCCTGCCCCGTCCTAAGCCAGTCTCACTGATTTCAACACACTAACCCCCACTGCCCTAGTTACCATATCAATCCATCTCATCTGGGGTCTTCCTATCCTGTGCTGTTCCTTGCTCTCCCATTCATGATGTCCTTCTCCAAGGACTGGTCCCTCCTGGCTTTGTGCCCAAAGTATGGGAGAAGGAGCTTCAAAATCCTAGCCTCCAAAGAGAAACTTGCTTTCATCCTCTCCAAGACAGACTTATTTGTTTTCTTGGCAGTCTATGGTATGTTAAGACCCTTCTCCAGCACCACAACTCAAAGACATATCAATTCTTATGAAAGTACTTACTGACTTTAATATTCTATTTTCAAAGAATTTAAGCTAAGAGGCAGTTTAACTTACAGAAAAATATTAGTAATAAAAAACCAGTAACAGGACACAGTAAGAATGATGAATACAGGACTTATATTGATGAAGACAGGACCAGTTAACCAAGGTCCCAGGGCTCATTAAGCTTTTCTGGACACTCACCCAGGGCAAATCCCATCACGTTCCACAAGGGCATCAGAACTGTCGGTCGAGCCCTGAATTTAATCATCAATTCACTGAACTTCTTCAAATGGTCCTTTTCTTGATCCCACATTTTCTGCAAAAAATGTAAACCATCCAAGCATTCCATGGAGGGCGAATGTGACATACCAAGGGCACCCCCTGCCAGAGCCATGTGCTAACAAGGACACAAAACGGAAATGGAGAAAGAACAATGATGTCCTCAGTCCCCTCAAATCACCAATGAGACCAATGGGCTAAAAAGAATCTTTGATGGAGAGAAGAGTGTGCCCATAACAAATCAAAAGAGATGCCTTCCCTCTCACTCCTGCAGGTGTGCCACCTAGCCCAAGAGTGAATTTTCATTCCCTCCGGATACCTGGCTGCAGGTGGGTCTCAGGCCTTTGGATGAACATGCTTGGAAAATTAGAAAGCCATGCAACAGAGCGTGTGAGAGAGCGAACGAGCGCCCACCTGGATGATCGGCCCGACGCTTGTCCGGCCCAGGACGGCCATCTGCCCTGCATAGATGCGGTTGGCTCCATATTCGCCTGCGTGATCCACTCGGATTATTCGATCCACAGCTGCCCAGTTGATATTGTCCAAGGTCATTCCTGAACTCTGAAATCTGACACTCATCTTCCTTCCACAAGCTGCGGCAAGGTAAATGTTTATTCTTCATTACCCTCAGGATGGACACGCCCCTTCCACAGAGCAGACACCTTAGAACACAGACCTCCAAGTGCTCCTATGGATAGGTAAGTCCTGACATGTCTTTTCTCTCTGCAGTGTTTTATAAAGAGTAAATTAGTTACGAACCTCAAAGACTATAGCTAATGCTCAGGAGCTCTGGTTTCACTTTAAATATCAGAACCCTGTCTTCTCGCATCGCAGGTAACTCAGCTGCCTCTTAGGTGGACAGGGTTCTCCAGGGCACCCATCCTCAGCTGCATCACCCCTTCATATCAGTGACTCCCACCCTCAAAGGTGGAAGAGCTCCTCGTGCCCGGCCCGATCACACAACCACTGGGGGGCTGGGGGCGGGGGCTCCAACTGAGATTCCTTAAAATGTTCTCTGCATGAATCCAGGACCTACAGCCAAGGCTGAGATTTCAGAGGGGGTATGTGATTTTGAGGCCAGTATTTTGGTGCAATTTAACTAAACTCTTCTTGTCTCCAGAATGCAAATTCTTCAGGATTAGATCTTACCTTCTTTAAAACTCCAGGTAGTAACACTTTTCACTCTGAGCCTCCTACCACTGCTGTCCTTGTTAGCGACCCCACATGTGTGGAGTAGAACGGCTCCACAAGGTTTGCCAGTTTATAACTTTGTGGAAGCCAGGTCTGTCTTCCAAGGCACCTCTAGGTGGATCTACCCAGTCGGCCTTTAGGCTGGTGGTTGAGCATTTAACAATGTGTGCTCCCCATGAATCCCTATGCCTTTTATGTGGGTATGTGAAAAACTTTTTCCCACGAGAGGAAGGTTCTGTGGACATTAGCTGGAAATATCAACACTGGCCTATACTGCTGTGACCTTGAAACATATCTCTAGAGTTCATGACCAGCATGCCTTTTATAAATAACTTCTCACTTACGCTAACTTCAACACTCAGAAAATAAGCAGAAAAATTCATTTTGGCTCTATGGTTCTCTCCTTAAGAGCTGAGTGCTCTGGTCAGGTGACAGGGTAATGTTATACACACTGTATTTCTATATTGATGTCTTTGACCTTGTGCCTGTGCCTGTGCCTGTTTGGAGATCAAGGTTTCTCTATTGTGCTAATAACTAAAGGGGAGCGCTGGTGGCCTAGTGGCAAGAAGCTGTGCTGCAATCGTGAAGGCATGCAGTTCGAGGCCACCAGCTCCTCCACAGAAGGATGGGCAAACTCCTCCTGTGAGATTAACTGCCTCTGAAAACCCGCCAGAGGGTGAGCTATGACTCTATGGTACACAACAACAACAGCAGTAACTACAGAGCGGGATGGGTGTTAACATGAAGTCCTTCTCAAATGCTAGTTCACCAAAAAAAGGAAAAACAGACAGGAGGAGACACACTCATGCACTTATGTGACAGAAAGCGTGCCCTGTGAAGACCATCCACTTGTGTGGCTTTTCTTGCTGTAACAACATAAAGTAGCCCAGACAGGTGGGATCAGTGGGATTTGGAGGGGCAGCGTGCCCTTGACCTTTCATACCCTGTAGAGTTTCAAAGGCTGTAAAAGGAGAATGGACAAGGAATTGTGAAGCATCAGGAATCCTCCATGGGTCCTACTCCAGGTTATTAAGCATATTCAACTCAATGTCAGGAAGCACACAAAGTCCCAGTTCTGTCCATTGTACCATACCCCTGGGACCTATGCCATTACTGGGTCTTTAAATGGGGCTTGATAAGGAGCGCTGGTGGCCTCCTGGCAAGAAGCTGCACTGCAATCCCAAAGGTAAGCAGTTCGAATCCACCAGATGCTCTGCTGGAGAAGGAGGGACAATCTCCTCTTGTACCAATCAGATCCAATTTGATGGCACGCACGCACGCGCGCGCGCGCACACACACACACACACACACACACTCTCTCTCTCTCTAATAATGTTTTTTTTAAAAATGGGGCTTGAGTATTAAAAAACAAATTCAAGAACCCCAAAGCACCCCATCTGGTGCTTTTGCCGAGGTTCAAGTCCACCAGCTGCTTCACAGGAGAAGGATGCACAATCTCCCCCAGTGTGATTTACAGTCTCTGAAATGCTGCTAGAAAGTCAGTTTAGACTTAGTGACGACTCAGCGGCACCTAAGAACGAACAACAGTGGTGCTGCTCCGGGGCACAACTCCTAAAAGCAGTACACGAATGATTTAACTTGGCGAAAACGACCTCACAACGTTTCTCTGAGGCGGTTCTGATTTGAGGAGGAAAGGCGAGCACCCTAATCTTGTTTCCCCACTCCAAATTCAAAGCTCCTTCAAATCCATTGGAGCAGCTCACACTTTACAGTAGGGTCACTCGGCGAGCTTGTTATAATACAGATACAGACGTTCACACTTTACAACAGGCCACTCAGCAATCTTGTTATAACAGATACAGACGTAGATCTGATGAAGTCTGCTTTTCTAACGCGTTCTAAGGCGGAAACTGCTGGTTTGTTAACTGCATTCAGAGAGGCTAAGCCCACGTGACGTCAGAGCACAGGCGTGCAAATTACGTCATCGCCATGGCGCTCACTCTCACCAGCGTTGCCGAGCCGCAAGCACAGGTCACTCTGCTTCGGCCACTCTGACAACTACCAACTCCCACCCCGCCCGCCATCCGTGCCGCGCAGGCGCACTGTCGCAGCCCTGTGACGTAAACATCTCCCAGTGACCTCCCTCCACACAAGTCAGGCTAAATTCCTCCGTTCAGAAACACGGCGCCGGACTGCGACTCGGCCTCCCTTTTACCTGAATGGGGCCGCCGGGCATTCGTGCACACCCGCCACAGTGGGCGAGTGGCCTCAGCCACTGCGCAGCTCATCATCCCGACTACAACACGGTCACCCGACTGAAAGCAGGCAGGACAAACGTGCTCTCGGCGCCGGCTGATGACGCAAGAGACGTAAGGCAAGACGCTGCCTGTCTTTGCCCTTTTGGAAACGCCCATGTCTCACCGCCCTATTCGATTGGTTGGAAAAGGCAAATAGAAAGATGTTATTGGATGAGCCCACTGTCAATCAACCAGGAGCTCCTCCCCTTTAGGTTACCATGGAAATTAGAACGTTAGACTGTACTTTCAGACAGAAGATCCGCATTTCTAAGAAAGAGGACTTTGGGAGAATTATTTATTTACACTTGTTGCAGTTAAGTGCCTGTCGCGTTGGTCCTGCCTCATAATGTACAGCAGAATAAATCGCTACATGATCCTGCGCTATCCTCACGAACATTACTCTTTGAACTCACTGGTGCTGTCACTGTGTTAATGTAATTTAAAGTCGTGCATGTTGTGCTTCTCCAACAGCTAGTCCCTTCTGATAAGATGTTTGAAGCACATGAGTTTTACCATCCTCACTTTTACTGAGCACTTTTCCCTAGATTGGATTGCTCTTTTTGGAATCCATAGTCTATTTACAAACCATCTGCTATGCAGCTGATAGCTAGATAATGAATAAGGATGACAGAAGAATCTATGCGTTTGAGCTGCGGGGTTGAAGAATACTGAATATTTCATGGATTTCCAAAAGGACAATTATGTGTTGGAGAAAGTGCAGTCAGAGTGCTCCTTGGAGGCAAGGATGGTGAAGCTTCCTCTCACTATTTTGGGCATGCTGTAAGTTAGGCTATTCCTTTGAAATGGACATTATGCTTGGAAAGGTGGAGGGTCAGTGAAGGGGAGGAAGACCTTCAACGAGATGAACTGATGGCAGTGTCTGTGACAGTGGGCTCAAATGTGTCTGGGATGATAAGGATAGCGCAGCATAGAACAGAGTTCAGATTTGTTGTTCATAGGGCCTCTATGAATGATACTCGACTCGAGGGCACTTAATATCAACACATTTCAAAATAGCAATTCTTCTGCCTTTCTTATTCACTATCCATCTTTTCCATACATGTGGAGACATTGCAACAACCCAATCTAAGGATCTAAAGCATGTATGTGACTGTCTTGATCTTTAACACTTTAAAAGAGTTCTTTTGTAGCAGATTTGCCCATCTCAATACATCGTTTAGTTTGATCAGTGCTTGTGGATGTTAACTGTTGGTTGAAGTAAAATGAAATCCTTGACCAATTTAATAGTTTCCTTGTACATCATTATGTTGCTTATTGGTTGAATTGCAACTGACAGTAAAGTAATAGAAAAGTTTGACCTTCCAATACTGCAACAAGAAAGATAGCAATAAACAAAAAAACAAACCTTCCCAAAAACCTCCTAACAGTTTTTTAAAAGTAAGGAAAGCATCTATGGAGTTTAAATTCTTTTTCTGCTTTAGTTTGCTTTCACTCTGCAATTTAGCTGTGTCCCTCCCTTCTGACCTTGTATCAAAGATGACCTTTTCAAGGAATGAAAAGGAAAATTTAACTGTTTTAAACTTTGACTAGATTACTACTAGTTTTGCTCTAAACCACAGAATTTATTGTCTCAGCTCTATCCCCAGCTTTACACGATGTGCTGAATAAAAAATATTTTCCCTTGAGATGGATCAGATCAGAAAGCAGCATTCAGCTGATACAGGCATTAGAAGACCCAAGAAAACAACCTAAAGAGTAGGCTAGACACCAACAGGTGTTCCCTCTTGTGTCATCAAGTCAAGTGTGACTCATGGAGACCAAGAGAACAAAAGATCTGAGAACCTTGCCCTATCATGCCCCATCTTCACAATCTCTAATAAGCTCTAGTTGATTCTTACAGTCAGTGTCAATCCATCTTGTTGAGGGTCTTTCTCTCATCCTCTGACCTTCCACCTTTTCCTGTATGATCTGTTTTTTTTCAAGAACAAGTTCTTCTTGAAAACATGCCCAAAGTATGTGAAATGTAATTTCGCCATCTATGGGATAGTAGTATTCTTTCCCAACATCACAGCTTGAAAGGATAGCTTCTTCTGTGATCCTCAGTCAATGTCTCCATGTTCAGATGCATATGACGTAGTGAGAAATAACAAGACTTGGATCAGGTGCACCTTAAACAGACATTCTTGCTCTTTGGCACTTTGGAGAAGTCCTTGACAGCAGATTTTTTTCCCCAATGCAACCTATATTTTGATTTCTTGATTGCTGTGCCATGGATATTGTGCCGAGGAAGATAAAGTCATTGAGGACATCAGTCTTTTCTCAATGCTGCTCCAGTGTTTGGGATTTTTTGTTTTCTTGTAAATTGTAATCCATCTAGACAGATGTATTCACTTATCTTCTGCAGCAAGCGTTTCAAATCCTCTTCACTCTAGCAAGTAGGGTTGGGTCATCTGTATGACGCAGGCTATTGAGTCTTCCTCCAATCCTGATGTCATACCCGTCATATAATGTAGCTTCTCAAATATTTGCTAATCATACAGATTGAATAGGTATGGAGAAAGACTACAAACCTGACACACATCTTTCTTGGTTTTAAACCATACCATGTTCCCTTGTTCTTTCAATAGCATTTTGATGTAGGTATAGATTTATCATAAGTGCAATTAAATGTTCTACTATTTCCATTCTTTCCAGTGTCAGTCATAATTTGTTATGATCCACACAGTCAAATGCCTTTGCACAGACATTCTTCAGTGTTGACTAGTTCTTTTTGGTACAATGACTCTGTGAATTCATTTTCTTTTTAAAATTTATTTTTTATTTTATTATTTTTGTGTGTGTACTGTCAAATCAGATCTGACTGGTACAGGAGATTGCCTCTCCTTTTCCCGCAGAATATCTGGTGGATTCAAGCCATATACCTCTGGGATTGCAGTGATCATTCCATTTTCTTTCTTTCTTTTTTTTCTTAAAGACAAGGGGGTGCCTGACCCAAGATCTGTGATATTTTTAAAAAATTTACTATTAATTTCAATGAAAATTTACAGAGACTTTGGATTTCCATTCATTCATTGTGCTTTTCTCCCTTTCTCCCCTCCCAACCCTCCCCCCTCTTCCATTTTCTTTTGATGTTTCTTGGGTCATTCAAGATTTTGCCCATAGCATCTCTCATTATTGCAACTCAAGTCTTGAGTTTGTTTTTCATTTATTTCAATTTGAGAAATGCCAGGAGAGTTTTTCCCTTTTTTATTCTCCAACTCCAGCTCTTTGCACAATCTGTTATAACACTTGCTTTGTCTTCTTGAGCTGCCCTTTGAAATCTTCTGTTTATCTTTTATCTTTTGCATCTGTTCCCTTTATTCTGGCTTCAGGAGACTCTAGTGCAATTTTCAGAGTCTCTTCTGACATCCATTTTTGAGGAAGACACTTATCCAAAAATCACTCATTAAACAGGTAGCAAAGGCATTCTGGGTCCCAAGTACATTGCAATTGTTTGAGAAGGATTATACTAGGAGGAACTTGCTAGTCAAGCCACAGAAGAACACCCAAACACACATGGTGGTCTAAGTGCATGATTACTAGCCGAAAGGTTGGAGGTTCAAGACCACCCAGAGACCTTCATAAGAAAGTCCTATCGGTGGCAGTTCAGAAACTGGCCATTGAAAACAAACCTTTTGGAACACAGTTATATACCAACACACATGGGATAGCTATGTGTCAGAACTGACAGGGCAACAACTGAACTGGATGGTATATAACAAAACAGATACACTGAGAGGTTCTTTCCTTCTTGGGGACAGACCTTTTGCCACCTTGGCAAAACGAATTCCTTCCTCTCCCAAAATGGAATGCCACTGTGAAGCTTCAGTCACATTTGCCAACTAGAGTTAAAGCAAATGAAGGACTGGGCTAACCGGATTCTCCTCTTTGCTGGGAGATGTCATGGCCATATGAATTGGTGAGGCTGTCTTGATAAACAAGAACTTAAAGCAGAATTTGTTGTTATTGTTGTTGCTGTTGTTATGTGCTGTTGAGTCACCTGTGACTCATAGTGACCCTATGTAGAATAGGCTGTTCTGTCCCGTGCCAGTCTCACTGAGTCCGTCATGTGATGTTTCTCTTGAATTCTAGCATTCACTCTACTTAACAGAGGAAAGAAGTTGGAAACAATAAGAATCTTGGCCAAGGTGTGAATGAGTATAGAGACACAGTTAAACTGACACAAAGGGAAACCCTATTGTCAATAAAAAAGAGGAGGTAGGGTTTGCACCTTAGTCTCAGGGTTCACCAAAATACTTTTTTTTTAAGCAGAAAAAAGAAACATATATTTCACATAAAAATACACTGCTGTGGAGTAAATGCTAACCCGTCACATCTCTGTATCAGGTTCCTGAGGACATCTTTACAAGAAACTGCCCATCTTTCTCTGTGTGACTTACTGCCTCTGAAAACTCGCTGGAGGGTCAGCTATGGGTTGGTTCTGACTTGACAGTACACAACAACAACAACTGCCCATCTTTCTCCCGTAGAGTAGCTGGTGGACTTGACCTTATTTGGTTAGCAGACAAAATTATGCAATAACCTGTTGCAGACCAAGGGAAAAGTATTTTTATACTTATCAATAATGAGACAGACAGGCAAGAATGAGATAGAACAGAGAACATAAAGAAAGAGGGCCAGCAGTCCTTGACTGAAGGGCCCCATTCCAGCTTCCCTGTGTCTTTATTGAAAATTATCAGGAAGTAAATCACAAAGAGAATTCAATGCAAATGAAGACAAGTCCTTTCTATTGAAAACCTTCTGCTTGACTCAGGAGGGAGGGGTCAGCAAATAAATGCAAGAATCCAGTAAACCCTTAAGGATTGCCTTAGTGCCTCAGGGTAAATGCCAGTTTGTACCAGAAATAGCATTCGGTTTATTACAAATATTTAGTATTGGCTTCCCATAGTAACCAGAGCTCCAAGACCTGGAAGAATAAAACATATAAACCAGGAGCAGTGTTTCTCTCTGGAATGGGATGGGGAGTGCTTGAGGTAATTCTGTTTAAGTTTATTTTAAACACACTAACATATGCATCCCTTCTACGTCTCCAGGGAGCCAAGAGGACTTAAAAGCACTCATCTCATGATTGCATTAAGCACTCCTTTCTACTCTCCTTCATTTGAGGAGGTAACAAAGCACAACCAGGCGTACAAAACGCGCTGTTTCCCTCGTTCTCCTGATTGCTGATGAGAAGGCTCCATGAATCCAAATAAGACACAATCACATTTTAAAACTCAGAAGCTCCTATTTAATCAGTAGTTTCAATGCACATTTGTTAGAGAGGGTTACATTTTAAAATTCATACAGACATCAGTGGGAATTATTAAAGCTGTCAAAATATAAAAATGCATTTCAAGTAAGACATGTGCAAATTGGTAGCATTTAACTAAAATACATAAGAGTACTTCACTATCAGTTTTATAACAGGTAAGAAAAAGAGCAGTTTAAGTGTTTTTCTCTCTCACACACATACACACACTCACTCACTCTCTCTCTCTCTGACTGTCCTCAGCAACATGGAAGGTTAAGAACATTTCATACATATAAAGGCTTTAGAGACATGCCAATAACTAGAATTTGTTTTTTCAAAATAAGGATGGCATGAATGTTGTTTGCTCAAAATCCCATACCAGTTATTAGATTTGGAAACTTCTAAGCCTTATTATCAAGATACAGATTTCCTGACAAACACAGTCACCTGACTGGTACAAAGATTTCCCAGGTGAATGGCAGCTTAGGGGAAGAACAGGGAAATGGTGCCCTGGCAAATGGACAAGCATAGAGAAACCCACAAGCTATCCTATTTTGCTCTCCCAAACAAGGAGTCGCTCACATTTGAATAATGCAAGAGGATGACAGTAAACATTCTAAAAATCTGTACTGAACTTTAAATTCCAGCTACCCCCAAAGAAGAGTCTGGATTAAGTGCAAATTAAAAAAAAACAAAACAACAAAACAAAACACCACCAACCGAAATACAGGAGATGATGAAAGGGGTCTGTTAAAAAAGCACAGTACTCGGTAAAGGACTTTTGAAGGCATTAAAGGAATACAGAGTACCTTCAACAGTGACTTAGGCTTATGTTATGTTGAAAGGTTCAGAGCTACATCAGTGCTGGGTAAGCTTATCCTGACACACTTACTGCATAGGGTTCCTACTGTAATGGAAATTTTAAGAGATACTCCACATACTTGCTAGAATAAAGGCACATACATTTAAAATGGTAAGCACCAGGAGATATGTTTAAAAAAGAAAAGTACTGGGCTTTCAACATGTGGACATGTTTCTGTAAGACACCAGCATGCCACACAGTTTGCTACAGAGTTCGGTACATTTTCACAGGCCGGCCTGTGAGCTAAAGCTGCAACCTGTATTTCAAGCCCCTTTTGTAGAGAAATCCACAGTTCAAATCCTAAACAGCCTTTTCTGAAATATTAGGTGTCATCTGGAAGATCAGAAGACCAACTCTGACTCCTAATTTTTATGGCACAAGGTACCCCCTGCGTGTCTTCAGGACTCAGGCCCAGAAAGGAACCAAGGCTTGTGGACTCTTGAGTAATGAGGTTGCACTGAACCACTCTGAAAGGGAAGAAAACAATATTGCCAACACATTTCCTCCTAGGACCCAGTCCAGTGCATTCAAGATGTGCTTGTCCACACAGCAATGAACAAGCTTTCCCTCTCTCTCTCTCTCTCTCAAATTACTACCATGTGAATGAAATCACACAACTATGCTATTTTCTATCACTCTCAAGCATTATGATTGAAGGTATTCTTTTCACTGAGAAATTCAAGTCTCATTTTAAGGTCAACAGAATCATTGCAGAGTTACTACTTCTTAAAGAACATTCTTCAGTTGAAAGCCCTCTAGGCAGTTGAAAAGAAGTAACTCAGTCTTACAAATGCATAGCTCCAAAGTCAACTTTTAAGAAACAACCTTTTAAATCTCTATAAGACCTCTTCTCAACTTTTGTTATAAAGGCATAAGCCTCTTAGTGAATGAATATTTATGCATAATCCTGATGAGGTCCAGGAAAAAAAGGCTTGATTTTAAGTCAGCTTTTCTTCTAAGTCATCCAAGTCCCAAATGTAGGGACAGGGATATGGGAACAGAACCATCCCTGCTGCATGCATGGAACCAGTCTCAAGGTAAGCCAAATGGTAGAAAATAGATTTAAAAACTTCTGTTCAAAACTCAAATTCATTTTAGATACTTGGGAAAGTCGTGAGGTCAGCTTATGCAAAACACAAAAACAAAAACAAACCCCAAACTCCAAAACAACACCACCAAACCAAAAACCATCTTCAGCATCAGTCTAGTCTGCTCCTCACATCCTTTTGCGCTTCTGTTAGCTTCTGGATTAGGTAATGCTTATCACGGCTTTCCTGGAGGGGAAAACAAAGACATGAACTGGAAAATACATTCACTATATCTGAAAACAAACAGTTATTATTTTCTCCCCAGTAAATTACCTATACAATTTGGGATTCTAACCACTGGACTTTTTCTTGTCAGAGTTCAAACAGGCTTGTCTATTTTTCTTGTGCCCCACAGGTGCTGATGAGATTTTAAAAATGTACAAGAAGAGTGCTCACTTTGGCAGCACATATACTAAAACAGCAACAATACTGAGAAGATAGATTAGCAGGGCGCCTGAACGAGGATGACATGCAAATTCGTGAAGTATGCTTTTTTTCCTCTTTAGCGTGCCATATATTTTAGATGATAAAGTCTTTCAAGATTACTCTTTCAAGGGATAACTTGATTTGAGATTTTATTTTTTGTACTGGGTTTGTGTTTTGTTTTGTTTCTGTCCATTTTTAATAAACATAAATGTGGAATGGAATTGTCTTCTCTCTTAAAAAATGTGCATTAAGGTGAGCTCTGGTGGCCTAGTGGCAAGAAGCTGCACTGCAATCCCAGAGGAGTGCGGCTCAAATCCACCAGAAGCTTTGCTGGAGAAGGAGGAACAATCTCCTCCTGTACCAGTCAGATCTGATTTGACACACATACACACAATATATATATAAAATGTGCATTAAGAATCAGAGAAAATATTTTTAAAATGTCTGGAAACCATGTATCATACAAGGGCTTGGTATTCAGAAGATATATGGAAGGGGGACAAAAATAAAACAACTACCGAACTTTCCTATAATTCAACAACAAAAAGAGAGACAACCCTACTTCAATTTAAAATGGACAACAGATTTGAATGGACATTTCATGATAAAGGATACATATACGGCAAGGAAGCTAGGTGACAAGATGCTCAACAATTAGATATTAAACTCAAACTCACTGCCATTGAGTTGGCATTGGTTCTTAGCTGGCAGTTGGGCCGATTTTCAGTGGTGGTGGGGGGGGTTATAAACAGCACAGAACAAGATGGCCCATCTTTCTCTTGAGGAGCCACTGGGTGGTGTGAATGCTCAGGGGTGTCTCCTTTGGCACCTCAACTCCCTACAGACTTCCCCACGAGAGTATAAATCAAAACGATAATGAGATACCATTCCACCCTCCGCCAGGTTATGATCAGAAAGACCAAAAATAACAATTATTAACAAGGATGTAGAGAAATAGAAACGCCTAATCCATTGCTGGCGGGATTTAAAAAATGGTGCAGCCACTACAGAAAAAAAAAGTATGATGGTTTCTCAAAAAATTAAACATAAAGTTGCCAGTGGTCCCGCAATCCCACGTTTTGGTCCCAACCATTCTTTTGATGCACACCCTGAAGAACTGAAAAGAGTGAATACATCGAGGTTCACAATAGTTCTATTCACAATGGCCAAAAGGTGAAAATAATCTATGTCCATGGGCCATCAAGAGAACTAAAAGGTCTGCTCTGGAGAGGGTGAAAACAAGTTTCTCCTTGGAGACTAGGATTTTGAAACTCTGTCTCACATACTTTGGACATGTGGCCAGGAGAGACCAGTTCTTGGAGAAGAACATCATGCTTGGAAGGGTGGAAGGACAATGCAGGAGAGGAAGGCCCCAGATGCTCTGTGAGAGAAAAGATGGTCAACCTCCTCCGGTGTGATTTAGAGCCTTGGAAATCCACTGAGTGTCAGCTATGAGTCAGCTCCAATTCAGCGGCAGTCAGTGAGAATGAGTAACCATGTGATGAGAAGACCCCAACACCCATTGCATCATTATTCACAGCAGCAAAGAGATGGAAGCAACCCAAGTGCCCATCAACAAATCAATGCATAGAGAAGCTGTGGCATATTCATACAATGGAATACTATGCAGCACTGAAAAACAAGGAACTCATAAAATATTACACACAATGGGTGACGCTGGAGGACATTATGCTGAATGAAATATCTCAGTCACAAAAGGACAAATAATGTATAGTGTGACTGTTCTAAAACAGGGCTGACATAGGAATTGAAGCAAAACTAAGAAAAGGGGATAAATAATGAATACTGCGTCGAAATAGATGAGGGAAAGAACTGTTTAAAAGGAATATATGAGTAGACATTATTTGCATGACAACAGTTCACTTTGCATAGCAAAGTGTACTGGGGTGGTGGGGGGAGGAAATTGTGCAGCAATGAATGCATTTTTTTTTAAGAGAAAAGCAAACTGGGGGGATAGGGAGGGAAATGTGCAACAATGAATGAATGGAAATCCAAGTTATCTGTAAACTTTCATTAAAATCACAATAAAAAATTTAAAAACCTCCCAAAAGACCAATGTCACCCCCCTCCCTGGGAAAAGTGGCACCTTCCTTATGATGATTTGGGCAAATGCCCTGCCATTGCCCTGTGACCCCTGCCCTTGAACCCTTACCAGCATTAGCTGCTCGCGGAGCTGGTTGACCACCTGTTTGTGTGCTCCCGCCAGGGCGATGAAGTAAAACATGATGAGGCTGCAAGCAAGGAGGAGAGGTCAGCAGTGAGTCTGTATCTTTGGATGCCAACAGAGAAACCACCCAACATGTGTTACCTGGAACTATTCTCTTTTCCTAGAAGAGATAAAAGCCTCACCCACTCTAAGCAGAGGACATCTGACACAGCTAGGGGATGTGTTATTGGACAGTGGTAACAGTGTCTGTGTGATTTATGCCTCACTTTTTAAGTTGCTATGACCCCAGTACACACAAAGACTAGAGAAGGTGCAGGAGAGGGTCCAGAAAATCAGCCTGTCCCATAAGTAACTGGCTGGGGAAGACAGTGGCAGATGGTCTTTGGCCTCTATTTCCTTATCTGTAAAGTGGGGTAAATACAGGAAAAGTGAGCAATTGCAAGGCTCAGCATCCATGAGCCTATTTTGTCAGCAGTTTGCTCATGATTCCTGTCGCCTGTCAGACTCCAAGTCTCAACTATCCCTTTCAGAGGAGGGGGAAAGGAGGCCCAGAGAGGCCCAGTGATGGAGCAAGTGTAACAGGTGATCCTGTACCCCACAGAGAGGGGCCTGGTGGGAAACCCTCCTGTCCTGCGTGGTCCCCACTCACCAGATGATCATGAAGAAGGGTACCGCGAAGGCCTCCGAGGTGAGCCCATGGATCAGGGACTGGAGCAGGCTGGGGAAGGTGCTCACCGTCTTGGGAATGATCTCCCAGGTAGTGTTGAAGTTGGTGAATGGCCCACAGGCCTTGGAGGAAGGGATGCTGCCAGGGCACAGGACAAGGTGCTCAGGGAAGGATACGGCAGCCCGGATTGAACCTCCCTCCTCTGCACACACACATCCTACCAGCAGGCCTCGTGGACCCTCTTGAGTGTTGGGGTCAAGACTGCCTAGCCTGGACTTGACAGGTCTCTAGAACCAGTATTCGGGGAATCCAGGGGACAGAGGAGCAAGTTAAATGACACTGTAAGGAAATATACCCAAGATGTCCAGAAGAGGAGAACTCGAGCCTCTAATGTCTTAACTTAGAGATGAAGAAACTGACCCAGACACAGCAACAATCAATCAAAACTTAAAACAGATTCCACGGGAGAAAGATCTCCTCCTGTGCAATTTAGAGCCTCTGAAAACCTGCTGAACTTTCAGCTCTGGGATCGTTGCAACTCGGCAGCAATGCGTTTAAGAGTTTTGAAAGACAGAACACATCAGATTGCTAACCAAAACATTAGAGGTTCAAATCCACCAGCTTCTCTGAGGAAGAAAGATGTTAAGTCTCCTCCTGTAAACATTCACAGCCTCAGAAACCCAATGGAAAGTTGCCGAGTCAGAACTGATTCAAAGGGCAGTAAGAGAATGAAAGAAAGAGAGACAGCAGTTAAAAGGGATGGTCAATCTCAAAGGCTCTTCATTTTTAAAAAAGCTACAAAGGCCATTTTAGGGCGATTGGAGAAATAGCAGAGGGCAAGGTGTGATCACATTATTGCAGATGCACATAAAGGAGAATATTCTTATTCTTTTTTTAAAAAATTTCATTACTCTAAGCTTTATTTTCTCTTTTTTAAAATTTTATTTTAGTGGAGTGGGCTTAGGAGCAGGGATTGAATAACAATGAAAGAATTTTTTTCTTTTACTTTTTTAAAAAAAGTGAGGCGGAGTGGGCAGGGAGAAAAGTGCCAACAATGACTGAATGGAAATTCAAGGTCTCTGTAAACTTTTATTAGAATAAAATTTTTTTAAAAAAGAGAATATTCTTATTCTTAAGAGTTGCATGCTGGACATTCTGCAGGGTGCTAGGGGCTTCGGGCTTGGCGTCCTAGAACCATAGCCCAGTTTGTCCGTAACCCAGTGGAGAAACACTGCTGTGAATTACTCAAAGCCTCAACTGGCCACATTGTGGTACCATGTCAATGTGACGCTGGTTCCTCTAATCCCTACTGAGATCCCTACAGCTATTCAGAGCCTTGGGGGGGGGGCGGAATCAGTAGTGCTCAAACTGTGGGTTCTGATGGCCTAGTGGCAAGAAACTGCGCTGCAATCCAGAAGGCAAGCAGTTTGAGGCTACCAGATGCTCCACGGGAGAAAGATGGGCAATCTCTTCCCGTATGATTAACTGCATCTGAAAACCCACTGACAGGTCAGCTCTAACTTGATGGTACTCAACAACAACAACAACAACAACAGAGCTCAAACTGGTCACTTCAAACAGCTCACTGGTTAAGGAAGCTATGCTGAATGGTTTGGTGGTGGCCACTGAGGTTTGGATGTGGTTTTGTATCAGCAAGATCAAGGCAAGCGTGGCATCACTGGCTATGATGTATGTAACGCATCTGATTATTCTTCATTTACTATTCATGTATTCTTGGATCAGGTATAATGAGATTGGTATCTCAATAAAATATATAATGCATGAGATTTTTTTAAAAAGTTGCATTTTAAGGTACAGGGATGTAACATCATGGCTGTGGAACTTGATTTAAAATAGTTCATCACACACACACACCCATACACACACACACACACACAGCCTTCATCTGCCAAAGACGGATAAATGTTCAAAAGGGAAGGGTAAAGGGGAGAGGTAAGGCAGGAGAAGAGGGAGTGCAGGTAAAACCCCTCTAAGGCTGCAGAGATTGGTGGACAGATGATAGTGAGGATGGGTGAACAAAGAGGCAAAGTGTAGTGATACGAAGCTGCACTGCAGTCCCAAAGGCACTCAGTCCAAACCCTCTAGCTGCTCTGCAGGAGAAAGATGGTCAGTCTCTTCCCATGAGATTAAACTGCCTCTGAAAAGATGCTGGAAGGTCAGCTATGTGTCCATTCCAACTTGACGGTACACAACAACAATGGGAATTGGAACAGACGGGGTGAAAATAAGCACTGATCAATAGTAATTAACACGTTGCCACACACTTTTTAAATTGACGACCATGCTTAGAAACACATTTGCCGTCATTTGCGGCAACATGTTAATTATATAAAACTATTATATAAAATATGAATCGTATTCGTAAAAAGTATATGAATGATCGTATGAAACATAATGTACATGAATGAATGAATAAAGCACAATGTATATGAATGATTATATGAAAACTAATTAAAAAAAGAATAGGGAAAAAACATTATGTGGCAAAATGTTAGTAACTGGAGTGTCTTATTAAAGAACGTATGAGTATTCATTGTTGCTTTTTTTCCCAACTTTCTAATAGGGTATAAAGCGTAAAATTAAGTAAAAACACAAATCGTAAGATAGGATTATAGAATCACCTCAGTGTTTTTAAAATATAGATAGCATCTTCATAGTAAACTTTTCATAAGAAAATGTTAATATTGTCTCCAGAGAGGAGGACTTAGAGGTCGTTTTGATTAGGAAGTGTATCCCGAATCAGTCCTGATCATGATTTGTGACCCATTACTTCTCTAGTATACAAACCTCTTAACTGTAAATACTGTCTGAGTTCCATGTGGCCATTGCAACAAATTTTTTTAACCCAGTAGAGAAGAAATGAGTCTTTGAGAAGCAGGGTTGAGGTCAGAGTTGACAGAAGATAGGCTGAGAGTGTGGAGTAGGGGGCTATACCTGACCTCAAAGAAACAGGATTCGGGCCACATCTTGCTGAGGATTCCACTGCTCCTCCTTGGAATGTCAGTGAAGGTTTGACACTGCTGTTCCCATCCCCATCACCCTGTTTCTACAGTGGTGTAGACCCACAAACAATGATAGCAGTGCCACACACCCATCTTCTAAAAGGGGGGCCGAGGCTCAGTGCTCAGGAGAGAAAGAAACAAAGGTGCTTCAGGCTAAGGCAGGAGCAACTTGTCTGGTACCTCTGCAGATGAAATGATGTGGAAAAAAAAAACCAAACAATAAAGAACAAAATGGGCTCTTCAAAAGGCAAATAAAGGCTGCATCACGCAGCAAAGAAATGCCTCTTAGAAACAAGTTGTGCTTACCGTGCCATGCTGATGGTCAGAGTTATGATGGCTAAACACAGCCCAATCAACAACACCAACAGGAAGAAGAAATTGGAATTAGAAGCGCGGAACTGCCTCGGAGAGGGTCTGCAGGTGTAAATAAGGCACGCCTAGGGGAAGAAAAAGGAAGATATCAACACGGAGGGTGTGAGCACATTCCAGGTGGGGATGCAGACTGATATTGACTTTTTTTTAAGAGGGGAGTGCCAGGTGAGCTCTGGTGGCCTAGTGGCAAGAAGCTGCACTGTAATCCCGGAGGTGTACGGTTCAAATCCGCCAGATGCTCTGCTGGAGAAGGAGGAACAATCTCCTCCTGTACCAGTCAGATCTGACTTGACAGTACACACACACAAATAATGAAAAAAAAGAAAAAAAGAGGGGAGTGCCAGCAAACATAGAGCAAACTGGAAAAATGTCTAATCCAGATCCTAACTTAGGGAATTCCTTCTAAGGAAATGGTAGGAAAAAATGGGTCAAAATAGATGTATGCAGAGATGTACTCCTAAAGCTGTCAATAACAGAATAACCAGAAGCAATTGGTGCTTAAAGAATTGTGCCGCTAGGGCATCTTGACATAAATGAGGGTCTGAAAATAAGAGCATGGCCTTGTAAGTCCATGTGGGGATTTATTAAGAGTGTGGTCACGCATTCTCCTCTGGAGAAGGATGGCAAGGTCCTCCCGTGCGATTAACTGCCTCTGAAATCGCACCAGAAGGTCAGCTGTGGGTTGGTTCTGACTCTACAGTAAGCAACAACAACTATCACATTCATAAGATACAGTCTTTAGAACAAATGAGAACTTTCTATGTTCAAATGACACTATGAATGAAAAGGATAGATTTGTATTTAAGTTAAAATATAGTATTTATTTTTTAAATTGGGGTTTAAAGAGGAAGAAGTAGTTAGAATTTGGTATATTTAATGATATATCCACATAAAATGCACCTAAAGGATTTCAAGGGAGCTCTGGTGGCCAAGTAGCAAGAAGTTGCACTGCAATCCTGAAGGCATGCAGTTCAAGGCCACCAGCTGATCCGTGGGAGAAGGATGGGCCATCTCCTCCCATGTGATTAACTGCCTCTGAAAACCCACTGGAGGGTCATTTATGGGTTGGTTCCAACTCAACAGTACACAACAACAAAGGGTTTCAGTCTGTTGTTCATAGGGTCATTATGAGTTGCAGTTAAAACTTGTTAGCACCTAAGAACATGCTAACAAGCTCAAAGTATGTGAAATAGTTTTTTATGAAGATGGCGCCAAAAGCAAAGAAGGAAGCCCCTGCCCCTCCCAAAACTGAAGCCAAAGCAAAGGCATTAAAGGCCAAGAAGGCAGTCCTGAAGGGCACCCACAGTCAACAACAACAACAAAAGATCCGCACGTCACCCACCTTCTGGCAGCCTAAGATGCTAAGACTCCGAAGGCAGCCCAGAAACCCCTGGAAGAGCACCCCCAGGGGAAGCAAGCTTGACCACTATGCCATCATCAAATTTCCCCTGACCACTGAGTCAGCCGTGAAAATGATAGAAGATAGCAACACACTTGTGTTCATTGTGGATGTCAAGGCCAACAAGCACCAAATTAAACAAGCTGTAAAGAAGCTCTATGACACTGATGTGGCCAAGGTCAACACTTTGATTAGGCCTGATGGAGAGAAGGCCAATGTTTGACTTGCTCCTGACTATGATGCTTTGGATGTTGCCAACAGAATTGGGATCATCTAAACTGAGTCCAGCTGGCTGATTCGAAATACAAATATTTTTTTCCACTTAAAAAAAAAGGTATGTGAGATATAACAACAACATAATATGCAACAAATTGAGATACTTTATGTTTATTTTTATTTTTATAAGAATAGAGACTAAGGTATGTCTGATTCAGGCCACGGTCTTTCCCAATTACATTCTATGCCTCAGAGAGCTAGCCAATGACTAAAGATGACAGAAGAATTGATGTCTTTGAGCTGTGGTGCTGGAGAAGAGTCTTGAACATACTATAGACTGCCAAGAGAACTAACAGGTCCATCCTACAGAGGGAGAAACCAAGCTGCTCCTTGGAGGCTAGGATTTTGAAGCTCTGCCTCACATGTTTTGGGCATGTTGCCAGGAGAGATCAGTCACTGGAGAAGGACATCATCCGTGGAAGGGTGGAGGACAGTGAAGGAGAGGAAGGCCCTGGATGAGAAGGGTAGACAAAGAACTGGGGAAATCGGGGCAGGTGTGAGTCAGTGAGAGAGCCTCAGGGTAAGGTGGATTTCAGAGCTATTGTACATCGGGTTGCTATGAGTCAAAGGCGACTTGATGGTACATAACAACATATTAAAAAATGGCCAATTCCACTGGGAGGGGGCTCTAATGTGCAGTCTCCTGGGAGCTATACTGCTAACCCAGGGGTGTTTCAAATCGACCAGTGGCTCCGCAGAAGAAAGATGGGCGATCTCTCTCCATACACTTTACAGCCTCCAGAAACCCACTGGAGGGTCAGCTAGGAATCAGTTCCAACTTCATGACAATGAGAAGGTTTTCTAAAATTTCCACTGAGGAGAAAAAAAACAGCATAACCCCACACCACCGTTGATGGTAATATCAAGGGAGAGGTGAACTGGTATAGAAACAGATGTAAAATTTCTCCTTCATCTTTAAGAGGACATGCCATCAGGAGTAGGCATGAAGCTGTTCTGATGTCAGCAGTGGCCAGGACATCTTGAGAGCAGAGGCCACAGAGTTTTTTTCTGGACCACTCCACTTAGCACTTGGCTAAGGACTCAGGAGCTGCTTGAGGGTGTATACAAACAACAAAGTCAAACCAAACCCAATGCCAGCTGAGTCCATTCGAACCCATAGTGAAGCTATAGGATAGAGATCTTTCTGGAAGCAGACTGCCACATCTTTTGCCTTGGAGCAGCTGCAGGGGGTTGGGGGGTTGAACCATCACTCATTCTGCTGGCAGTTAAATGCTTAACTAGAGTGCCACCAGGGCTCCTGACACAAACGAGGGCTTGAAAAGAAATGCATGGTCTTCTAAGTCAAAACAGAAAAAAAAATGGTGAAATTGGAACTCATGCATTAAATATCACCAAAACGTGCTACTGACGATGGTGCAACTGATTTAAATTCCAGGACCGGAGCCATATTAATCAAATCATCAAGATTACAAAAATGTCTACGTCCATCCATAGAGAGAGAGATCAGCTGGCCCTGTGGACAGAAAGCGATGCTACCAAGCCAAAGGTGGGTGACTTTTAATCCGTGGCCCTCGGGCCTGTCTTTCATTGTTTTTGTTCAGACATTCCTCTAGGTTGTATAGCCCTGGTGTACAAGGTGCCGTACAGCGGTAACTTGTGGTTGCTGTGAGGCTGAACACTGTGACACTGATGTGTCAAATGCGTTAATGATTGGTTACCCACTGCAGACAGAGAATGGGGTGGAGCTCCCTGATTAAAACAAGCTTGGAAGGAGGAGTGGCATCCACTTTCATAATAGCTTGCCTCCAGAAACCCTATGAACCTGGAGAGAGGATGAAAGACACCCAAGTGTTGAGGACTCTCCTTCATAGGGTCGCTATGAGTTGCCTGCGACTTGACGGCACTTAAAAACAGCAACAACACGTCCATCCAAAATAATTTTTTAGAATACACACACACACACACACACACACACACACACAGATGGCAGGGATGTAAGAAAGAACTCTGGCTGCTAACCAAAAGGTGGGCAGTTTTAACTCCCCTGTTGCTCTGAGGGAGAAAGATAGGAAGTCTTCTCTCATTAAGATTCAATCTTGCACACCTATGTTTATTGCTGCATTGTTTACAATAGCAAAGAGATGGAAGCAACCCAAGTGCCCATCAACAAATGAATGGATAGAGAAGTTGTGGATTTATTCACACAATGGAGTACTATGCAGCACTGAAAAACAAGGAACTCATAGAATATTATACAAAATGGGTGACCCAGGAGGACATTATGCTGAGTGAAATAGATCAGTCACAAAAGAACAAATACTGCATAATGCCACTGTTATAAAACAGGGCATAGGGGTTAGGGGAAACTTAAGAAAAGAGGGGATAAATAATGAACACTACATTGAAACAGATGAGGGTAAGAACAGTTTAAAAGGAATGTATGACTAGACATTATTTGCATGACAACAGTTCAGAATAAGAGGTGCACAGCAAATTAGACTGGGGGCAGCAGGAGGGAGGAAATTGTGCAACAATGAAAGAATGGAAACCCAAGTTTTCTGTAAATTTTCATTAAAGTATTAATAACAAAATTTAAAAAAGATTTTAAGAAAGGATTCAATCTTGACGCAGGGTCATTATGGGTTGGAATTGACTCAACAGCCATAAATATAAGGAAGCCTTGGTAACATAGTAGTTAAGGTTGTGGTTGATGGTGTGGCATCAAGTCTAAACCAACTCGTGGGTGACAATCCAATAGGTTTTCAGGGGCAAATCGCACAGATGTTTTGCAAGGGTGGAGGGACAGCACAGGAAAGGAAGAACCCAGATGAGATGGGCTGACATGGTGCCTGGGGTAATGGGGGCAGGTGTGTCAGAGACAGTGAACTTGGCTCAGGATAGAGCAGAGTTCAGAACCACTGTGCATAGGGTTGCTATGAGTCGACTTGATGGCACATAACAACAACAGTGACTCGTAGGGGAGGACACTGCCCATCTTCTCCTGAGTTGCAGCTGGTGGATTTGAACTGCCTGCCTTTGGGATGACAGAGAAACTCCTCACCACCAGGCCTTCAGAACTCCCTACTGGTTAAAGACTCAGACACTAACCTCACGGTCAGTAGTTTGAACTCAACATGGGAAAGCTGTGGCAGTCTGCTTCAGTATAGAAGTCCAACTCTGGACACTTGCTGGGCAGTTCAATGTCCTTATGAGGCCACTTTGAGCCAGAATCCATTCAAGGGCCATGTACGGGGTAGGCTTTTAGTCTGACATGTCTGACTGGAAGTGACAGGCTGCACACATGTCAGTGCCCGACGCCCTAGTGAGTCTAGAGTGGTGTAGGTATCAGTCACCAACCTCCCACCCCTCTCCTTACCTTTTTCACATAAAAGATGATGACGTATTTTACCACTGCAATTGCAGGAATAAGAGGGGAGAAGAAGGCTCCAATCCAGCAAATGGTCTGCCCATAAACGATGCTCAGAACATTTTCAGGAATGGAAAATTCCTGATGCCCCCAGTACTTAATCATCTTCCAGGAGGAACAGTAGGTTACCAGGAGTCTGGAAATGACAAGGAGGGGGCTCACCAGCTGTCAGCGTTAACAGAGCCCAGATCCAAGTAGACATGGTTGGCAAAGCCAGGGCTGTTTCCTCAGGGAAAAAAAATAGGTTGGTGTGGTGTCTTAGCACATAGTGAATTCTGAAATTCAGGGTTCGAGTCTCGATTCTATAACTTATTGACTAAAAGAAAACCAAACTTAGATGAGTTCCTTGGCCTCTGTGATCTCATTTTTCTCATCTGGAATGTGGGTGGATTAGCATGCAAGCCACCTCCAAGGGCCGTAGGGGGTGTGAGTGACACATGGCAACTTCTGGGCTCTAACTTCCCACTCAGCACAGAAAGCACTGTGCACAAACACAGAAAGGGGTTGTGAGGGTCTGTCAGTAGCACATTCTTGGCACCTAGAAGTTAGAAACTCTGCAACCAGAGGCCCGAGATACACTCAGTTGCTCACTATAGAATTGTCACATATTAGCTAAGATACAAACAACTTAAATCTCTATTAACGCAGGCCACCACTCAGCATGAATTTTCATTGACTTGAAAATGACTCATACCTAACCCTCCAGCATGTTTTCACAAGCTGTAAATTGCACAAGAGGAGATTGCCCATCTTTTTCCCTGAAAAGATTCTGGTGGATTCGAACCACCAAAGTGGTGCCACCTTTGGGTTATCAGTGTGACTCCCTAAGACTAGGACACCAGAGCTCCCTAGTGCAGGCACCTTACACACTCCAAGAAATAAATGACAGCAATTCATATGTCCAGACATGGAAAGCTGTGCATGGCAAAAACACAGTCAGGAAGCTGGTCGCCAGTGTGGATCCACGGGAGTCCACTTAGGAGGGGATAACACTGCCAACCAAGCTCTGGGCTTACGTGAGCACATGGGGACAAGTACACTTACGCATCCTATGGAAGCATGTGTGGAGAGGAAGACCCTCAACAAGAAGTACTGACATCTTGTAACAATGGGCTCAAAAGGATGGCCCAGAATAGGGTCAAGTTCAGCTCTGATGTTTGCAGTACATCGTAGTCGACACCTAACAACAACAGATCGACCTCTCAAGATAAGAGTTCAATAGTGGGGTTGGGTAGCTGGCTAACAAAAGATCTCTTCTTCTCCAGACTTGTGTATGGATTTAACATCTTAATATTTTTAGCATTTTGTAATAAGCACATGTTCCTGATATATTTGTGTCTTTTATTAACCACGCCTTTTTAAATGTTTCCTTTTCAAGTCTTGCTGGAACTCTGGCATAAGTCATGGCTGCTGAGTTGATCACTGGTTTTCTGTAAAAAGATCAAGCGAAGAGTTTCATTTACGATTCAAAGGCCTGCTGGGTGTAACAATGACAAGGACAGCCACACAATGGTGATTGTGAACATTTTGTTCAGGGCTTGTGAGGTGTCACAGGGGACGGTGGCTCTGTGATGGCCTGGGTCTGAGTTCCGGTCAGTGCACCTTGTGCACAGTGACCACTTCCTGTCTATCAGTGGTAGGCTTGGTGCTGCTATGATGCTCAAGGGCTTTCAGCAGAGCTGTCAGACTCAAACAGACTAGGAAGAATGGCCTGGCAATCAAATGATAAACCAGTCAAGTCCTAACACTGGGGCTTGAACTTCTATCAGGAAACACTGTGGCAACCTGGTGAGTCTATACAGATTGGTGACAGGAAGTGTTCCCCAGGGAGGTCATGAGATCACAGAGCCATTTCTGCCCTTCAATCTGCCGTTTACGACGGGCAGGTTGATGTCCAGGAGCAGCTGTGAAAGCCAACAGTGAGGTGTGGCTGCGACATGGGGTAAGAGAAGCACCCTCATACTTACTTTCTAGGAAAATCCCAAAACACGGTCACAAGCAAGATGATGATGAGGTCGAAGATCATCAGCTTGTACATTTCCTGTCCAACTTGGGTCTCCCAACACTGAAACCAAAGCAAGCAAGAGAAACTGAGGCAGTGAAAGCAACGGACACCTTCTAACATCCCTTCCCACTCCCGAGGCTGCTGTCCTCGGTTAAGGGATCAGCCGACTCGCTCCCGAGCTCACACACAGACTGTAGTTTCCAGGTCCCTACAAGTGAAGACACTGGGATTCAAACCCATGATGCTGTTCTCCACAAGCACCCGCCCAGCATGGGTTCTGGGGCCCCTGTAATGTTACCGGGTAGAGCTTCTGGTTGTAGCCGCAGAGGTCGCATGAGGGGTTATCACAGGACGTAATCTTGGTGCCCAGGGTGAAGACCAGCACGCAGATGGTAGCCAGGCGCATGAAGACACACCTTCAGGGAAGACAGGAAGATAAAATGAGGGGGGAGGAGGAGGCTGCAGGTCAGGTGGGGCATTTGTGGGCACCAGAAATGGGAGGGGCTGCCATTCTCAAACACAAACCCACATCAGCTGGTCATTTTTGTCCTCATTGATTATGAAACCATGCCTCGCCATGCTCAAGCCCATTGCTGCAGTCACTGGGCATGGTAGAGACCGTAAGGATGGTGCAGGACACAGCAAGGTTCCAACCTACTGGTCACAGGACTCAGTCGACTCACGGACATCTAACAACAACTACACCAGAGCATGGGACCACCTGATATTCTGTGCCTCCTGGTGGAAGGCAACAGGAAGCACAAAGCCACCTCACTGAGGTTTCCTGAACCATGAACTCAAACTTCCAACTCGATAGCATAGATTCCTGGGAACATTGGGGCAGTAGCATTAAGTAAACAAACTGCAAAGAAGTTTACGGCTCTTCTTGTTATGTGCCGTCAAGTTGCCTACGACCCACAGTGACCTATGTAGAGCACCTCTGCAGCCTGCCCTGTCCTGAGCCAGTCTCACTAATTCCGACACACCAACCCCCAGTGTCCCAGTCACTGAGTCAATCCTTCTCATCTGAGGTCTTCCTCTCCTGCGCTGTCCCTCCACTCTTCCAAGCATGATGTCCTTCTCCAAGGACAAGTCTTTCCTGACTGTGTGCCCAAAGTATGTGAGATGGAGTACCAAAATCCTAGTCTCCAAGGAGTGAATTTCAGAATAGAGGATATTCTACAGGATAGAGGAATCCCTGGGGACCTAGTAGGTAAGGAGTTATGCTGCCAACCCAAAAGTAGGCAGTTCAAATCCACCAGCTGCTCCACAGAAGAAAGATGGGCAATTTACTCAGTCTCTGAAAACCCACTGGAGAGACAGCAATGAGATGGGTGACCTAGTAGCTTCCAGAAATCAAAGGCATTTCTAAAGGAAAGGAAGAATAAAGGGGCCCAAGAGTTGTCACAATCTACATTGCAAAGAGGACTGGGGGAGAGAAGGAGGTAACAATGCAAAAATGAATGAATATTTTTTTTTTAAAAAGAGAACTGGGGGAGGGCGAGGGTAAAATGTGCAACAAATGAATGAAAAATTTAACTTTTCTGAAAATTTTCATTAAAATCACAATTAAAATAAAAAATTGTATTTAAAAAAAAAAGAATGATCTAGGAATTCTGTTAAAATGTAGATTCCGATTCTGGATACCAAGAGTTGAAATGTAAATTCTCAGCAAAGCAACAAACTAGAATGAGCTGATTCCAGATTTTAAGATTAAAACAAACAAAAAAAAAAATTAAAAAAAAAAAAGATTAAAACTACCTTTTTTTCCACCTCTCAAAACAAAACCAAAACCAAACACGATAACAATCAAATGCAGCACATAGCCTCTGCTCGGGTCCTGGTTTGAACAAACCATTGCAAGTGACCCGTGACATCGTCAGGGCCACTGATTGCTAATTTCATGAGACGTGATAGCAATTATGTTAAAATGAAAAAGGTCTTCACGGGGAGCTCTGGTGGCCTAGTGGCAAGAAGCTGCACTGCAATCCCAGAGGCGCACGGTTCGAATCCACCAGATGCTCTGCCGAGGAAGGAGGGACAATCTCCTCCTGTATCAGTCAGATCTGATTTGACGGTACACGCACACACACAATTAATAAAATAAAAAAAAATTAAAAAAAATATAAAAAAAAGAAAAAGGTCTTCACTTCTCACACTCATTGCCATTAAGTTGAAACTGACTCAATCTCCATGGGTTCCTGAAGCTGTAAGTTTGCACCCCAGGAGATTTCTCATCTTTCATCTCAGGAGTGGTGGCGGGATTCAAACCATCAGAAAGGCTTGGCTTTTGGGTTACTGGCAAAATTCTCTACAGACTAAGCCACTGTATATATAGTTGTTTTTGTGTGCGTTGAGTTGGAATCAAACCACAGCTCACTCCCTTGCCGATTTTCAGAGGCAGTAAATTGCACAGTAGGAGACTGTCCAGCATTCTCTTACAGAGCAAGTTCTGGTGGCCTGGTGGGTAAGGAGCTGCACCGCCACTGCAAAGGCAAGAAGTTTGAATCCACCAGTTCCGTTGCAAGAGAAAGATGAGTAATCTACTCCTGTGTAATTTACAGCCTCTGAAAACCTGATAAAGAGTCAGCTATGAGAGGGTTCTAACTCAATGTCAGTGAAGTTGTTCTATTGTTGTTAATGCTAGGAAGCACTTCAGAAATGGCTTGTCTCCAGAAACTCAATGAACAGTGCTCAGGTCTTTGGTTCACAGGGTCGCTATGAGTCCTCTACGACTCAATGGCACTTAACAAACAACAGTAATGCTAGTAGGCATCTTTGATCTGTTTTAGGGAGCTCTGGTGGCCTAGTGGCAAGAAGCTCAGCTGCAATCTCAAAAGCATGTGGTTTGAGTTTACCAGCTGCTCCACAGGAGAAAGATGGGCAATGTCTTCTCCTGTAATTAACTGCCTCTGAAAACACGCCATACACAACAACAACATATATATTGCTGGAGAAGGAGGGACGATCTCCTCCTATACCAGTCAGATCTGATTTGACGGTACACACACAAAAATAATAAAATAAAATTTAAAAAATTATAAAAAAAGTCCTATGGTACATTCGCACAATGGAGCACTAGGCAACATTTAAAAAACAATCAAGAATTCATGAAACATTGCATGATATGCATGCATTTGGATGGTATTATGTTAACTGAATTAAGACAAACATAAAATTATTATTATGGTATAAGACCACTATTACAAAAACCTATGGAAACATTTACATATAGAATAATTCCTGGATGGTTATTACCAAGGATGGAAAGGGAGGGAGAGAGAGGGGTGTAAAAACTAATAAAGAGGTGAAGTAGGGAAAGGGTAAGGCAGTATACAATTAGGAATTGAGAAGACACTGTAATTAATTAATTCTATTAATTGGTTGTAATTAATGCTATGAAACAAAATGCATGTGAATGATTACTCAAAAAAGGTAAATAAAAATAAATTAAAAATCATATACTATATAAAATACCCTAGTAAAAGTAGTGTCAATGTGCAGTATGCAGGGTTTGCTGTGATGCTGAACCTTGTGTCACTGGGGATAACAAATACCAGAATGGCTTCCCAATGTGGCCAGTGTTTGGTGGAGCTCCCAGATGTGAAACAGGTTTGTAAGCAGGAGTGACATCCACTTCCTAAACCACATGCCTTTGGAAACTCCATGAACTTGGTGAAATAACGACAGTTACAGAAAGGTGTTAGGTCTTTTGTTCCTAGAGTCACTGTGAGTCATGCTTGACTGGATGGCAATCAACATCAAAAGTAGGATAATCAATGAAACAATTTGCAAGATGTTGTTAATGGTTGAAACTTGATGGTCATGTGGGAGTTACTTAATCACCCTCTCTGCTTCTCTGACTATTGGACAATCTCCAAAACAAAACAAAACAAAACAAAACAAAAACATAAGAGGTGAATGGGGTCCTTTACATTTGAGAAGCAGCAGAAAACTTTACATTTCAACAAAGTCCCCCTGCTGGTCTGTCCTCTCATTTGTGCTCACATCCTGGACTCCTCATCATATTATTCATTTCTGGCATCTTCAGCACATCCCTCCTCCCCACCCAACGACTTCAGCTGTCAGTGTGCTAATTCATGAATCAAAAGAAGATTTCACCGAGTGCACAAACTCTGATCCGTTCACTGGGTTTAAGGACTCATGGCTCTGCCAGCTCAAATACACCACAGTTGATTAGCAATGTCTGCTCCTTCAGTCAGGCATTACCTAAGGATTGTCAGCCGGACCTCAAAGCCTGGGGAATAATCCTCATAGTGGATGATCTTGGCAAAGATCACCTGGGTGCTACAATTGGCCAGCGTGATCACAATAGATGGCAGATACTGGATAAGAAGGTTCTCTCCCAAAACCATCATTCTAATCTCCTAGGAAGGCAAAAAAAAAAGTATAATTAAGTGAAGATACATCACAAATGAACAGAAAAAGCCAAAACACAATACTCTGTGTTTGGGAAGTGCACAAAACGTTTGTTGTCCAAAATAAACAATGGCCTGCATCATTAAACATAAGCTATTTCCTGAAAGAATAACCAGAGGGGTGTAATTAATGCCAGTGAATTGTACACTTAAAAAAGGTTATAATGGCAAGATTTTTTTGTTACTACAACAGAAAAAATTTAAAGACATGTATCTGTTTGAACGTTTGAACAGAGAAATCATGACCTCCCACATGCTGGAAGAAAAATCAGCTCTATTTGATTTATTAACACGAAATCTGAAAACTCTACATCTTCTTTTTTTTTTTTT